TCAACGGTACTACTTTCCGGAGCTTTACGAATATATATTGATTTATTATGTGGGTTTATGAGACCTAACTAATAGGTAGAATGCTTACCATTAGAAATAGTATAGTCATTATGAAGATCCAATCAGAATGTATATTTCCGCCTCTGGAAATCAGTTATAAAATGTCACAGTATGGAAATCCTGAGTAAACTGCTGAATCATATAGCATTACCAAAACACGTTTTCTGTATTTCTACTGTTGTATTGTTTTTGCACTTGGGCACTATAACTGAGGTATTTCTTGGTGTCAGTTTTAGCATCACTTTGTCTTACAATTAATCAAAGGTTCATCTTTTATTGTGCGCAACTCCACTACTTTCTCCTAAACATTATCACCAGTCCATAGGTGTATGTCACATTACAGTAATATAACATTATTTAGGTAATAGGCTTATCCCTTAACTTAGATAGGTGCTTACTGCTAAGTCTTGAGCATCGTATATTCGATATTATGTAAGGTTGCACACTGTTAAGTCTCAAGATAGGATGGAGCTTTAAGTAAGTCTTACCCGATTTGTAGTGCTTTTTCTATTGGTCTCAGTTTAGAGTTTGAGCCATGTGGTTATCTAAGTTGCTTTAGTGTTATTTTGTTATTAGTAGGACTCTAATATTTTTCTCCACAAACTACTCATACCAGTCCGTTGAATAACTGTCTGACTTGACGAATCGCATCATGCTACTTGTTATGAACTCGTTTGTCATGTAATGGAGTTTGAATATTTATTTGGACGTGCTATAAGTAACTTGTGCATATATGTATGTATATATGACTCATGTGTATATTAAATTTTTGTATCCCTTCTTTATTGATTTCCAGCTACCGAATTGTAGCTGTTGACAACGATTTGGTGTCGTTTGTAGATGTGCGGAAGCTCTCGCCTAATGATTCAAGCAAAGAATGGCCTATTATTTTAATCACAAATCCGAAAAACGTTAACTTTTTACTCCCAAAAAAAGAACCATTCCACAGGATAGAGTTTTCTACGCACATAAGGTAATTAATATCGATTTTTAAGAGTTTAATTGCATTGAGCATATCGTCGGTCGTTGACGCATATACAACATACTTCTTAGTTACTCCATTCATATCTTTTATATCTTCTGATAGAACGAGACGCCGATACACTAGAATCCATGCACTCAAGCAAAGGTATAATAGCTCTACAATACCGCATTTAGCAAGTTTACTATGCGACGGAGAGGCTGTAGGAGCTTACTTAGGCGAATAAGATTTCGAACTGGTAAATTATGTTTCTCAGCGTACTTGCAGTTGTAAATACCGCAGTTATTCCCTGAGCACTTGAAAACTTGACATAGGGTTTTCAATATTCATTTGTTGATTTAGGAGCATAGTGAAAAGCTTTTAACTTTCTTTTGGTAGTGATTTCATAACCGTCAATATAGTGGTGGTAATTATTATGATTGCTATTAATACAATTGAAAGTGAGTTTGCTAATAAGCAATCTGTAGTTTCATTTATTTCAGGCGAAATATGAAATCAATGCAAATTTGAAAAAAAGACAATCCAGAACTTTTCATTGTAGTATGAAGCTGGAATAGTATTAGATAGAAGTACAGACTAATCTTGTCATGCAAATATAAATTCACTAGATGTTACACTTGTGCAGCTCATTGACCAAGTATAGGCTTTGAGCTAATTATTTCATGTGAGCACTGGAGATCCTACTCCCGATTGTCAAGATCGAGATTAATTGAGCGAATTTGGAACATCCACCCTAAGGTTTGTAATTGAAAGTGTTTCAAACACCAAACCGCAGCCTCGTAAGCAATAATTTATGCATGATATATGAATTATATTCACCACTTATATTCAGACCTGCAACCATCTTAAAATTGAAAGGAATAAATTACTATGATCCTATTTAATTGTATAACTTATCTGGATAATCGTTTTGTGCGTGAAGTAAAAGTAAAAGTTGAGAAATATTTCAAAGTTTAAATCAACTAATCTAGTTAAATGTTTTCCTTCAGTTCTGTTTCGGTTCGAGTACTCGGACAGCATCCCAGACTGCACACAAATGTAATGATAACTAACTTTTGGACTCAATTTTCGGTGCACTTTTGTATCAATGTTTATGTGTTTAAATAAATAATAAGTCAGACCACATAAGTGTAAGGTTTGTTACACTAAGTATGTAAATAGTAGAATGTTTATTTGAAAAAATAAAAATAAACTACTCTAGTTTTACAGTTCAAATGACTGATATACAAATATTGTTTGAGTTATAACTATTACATGAAGTTTAGATTTCAAGCCTTAAATAGTTTACTGTTTAAAATATATAAACTGGGATTTTTCGAATATCAAGTAGAAGGTTATATTGTTAGTTTTGTTTTATTTCGACAGACATAGTAAACCACATTACTTCGATAAGTAGAGTGAAATATACAATCAATGTTGTGATATATCATTTTAGAATTGTTTCATTCACGTGCTTACTTACTTACTTCTGTTTCTCCCCGTGGTCGAGTATAGGCTTCCCACCATCATTCTTCATCCAACTCTGTCCTTAGCAGTCCTTTCCATTCGCTATTCATCCTTTCGATGTCTGCGTCCAATTCTCAGCGCAGTGTGTTTTTGGCCTTCCTCTTTTCCGTCTCCCCTCAAAATTGCAAGTTAGTGCTTGCTTTGTGATGCAGTGTGATGATTTCCTCATTTTACGTCCTATCCACTTGGAGCGTTTTTTCCTGATTTACTCTTCAGCCGAAAACTGGTTTGTTCTCTCCCACAGTGGGCTGCTGCTGATGGTATCCGACCAAGGGATATTGAGTATCTTGTGTAGATAATTGGTTTTAAGCACCTGAACCTTTTTGATTATGGTTGTAGTAGTTTTCCAAGTTTCAGCTCCGTATACTAGAACTGTCTTGATATTCGCATTGAAAATTCTGAATTCGATGTTGGCTGACAGCTGTTTCGAGTTGCAGATGTTCTTCAACTGTAGGAATGGTGCCCTCGCTTTGCCAGTCCTTGACTTCACATTTTTACCAGATCCTCTTAGTTCATCGATGATACTACCCAGGTACGTGAAAGATTCCATATCTTCCAGAGCTTTTCTATCAAATGTGGTCGGTTTTGTGTTCTCCGTGTTGTATTTGAGGACCTTGGTTTTCCCCTTGTGTATGTTGAAGCCTAATGCTACAGAGGCTGCTGCTACACTGTTTGTCTTCATCCGCATTTGTTCGTGTATATAAGATAGAAGGGCCAGTTCATCTGCGAAGTTTAAGTCGTCTAGTTGATTGCAAGCTGCCCATTGTATTCCATGCTTCCCCTCAGGTGTGCAGGTCTTCATAATCCAGTCGACCACCAGAAGAAAGAAGAAGGGGAGAATAAGCAGCCTTGTCTGACTCCAGTTCTCACATGGAACACATCTGTCAACTGTCCTTCATGCACAGCTTTGTAGTGTAGTTCGTCCTATGAATTCCGGATGATATTGACGATTTTCTCAGCTACTAACACCACAGTGTGGAACAAGTTTCCATAAGATCCTCCTGTTCACACTATCAAACGCCTCCTCATAGTCAATGAAGTTGATGTGTAGTGACGAGTTCCACTCAACCGACTGTTCAACAATGATCCATAGTGTCGCAGTTTGGTCTGTGCGCGATCAATCCTCAGGGGATCCGGCCTGTTAATCTAGAATCTCGATTTCCACTGAGTTTTTCATCCGGTTCAGCAACATTCTGTTGGAAAGTTTTCCTGGTACTGATAGTGGTGTGATGATCCTGTAGTTTTCACATTTGCTCAGATCTCCTTTCTTTGGAGTCTTTATGAGGTATCCTTCTTTCCAGTCCATCGGCACTTGTTCCTCCTCCCAAATCTTTTTGAATAGAAGGTGAAGTATGTTTGTAGTTACTTCGATGTCTGACTTCAGTGCTTCAGCTGGCATGTTTTCGGGTCCTGCTGCTTTCACGCTTTTGATTTGTCTGATGGTCATTCTGATTTCTTCCGTCATTGGTGGATTGACATCTTTGGGAAGATCTGTGTGTGCTGGTTCGATTTCTGGTGGATTCAGTGGAGCTGTTCTGTTGAAGAGTTCCTCAAAGTGTTCTACCCACCTGTTCCTCTGTTCTTGAATCTGAGTGGTTGGCTTGCCTTCTTTGTCCTTGACTGGTCTTTCTGATTTAATATATTTTCTTGTCGTTTTCTTCGTTCTGTTATATAGTTGTCTGATATTTCCTTCTCTTGCAGCTTTTCCTCCTGTCGTTGCTAGATCATCCACATATTTCTGCTTGTCAGCTCCAATGCTCCTCTTCACTTGCTTGTTTGCTTCTGTGTATTCAGCTGGTGCCTTAACTTTCTCTGTTTTTGTTCGGTTGTTGTTAATTGCTGTCTACTTGTCCTTCCTTTCTTGAATCTTGTTCAGGGTTTCGATAAAGATCCATTCCTTATGATGGTGTTTCTTGCACTGCAGAACCTCATGACACGTTGAAGTTAGTGCTTCCTTGATCTCTTTCCAGTTGTCCTTCGTGGTAGTTTCTTCTTCTTTGAGTAGATTTTGTAAGACTTGGAACCTTGTTGTTGAGAGCTATCTTGAATTGGTTGAGATTGTCAATATCTCAAAGGAAGGCTGTATTAAGCTTTTGTGATGTTTTTTTCCCCAGTTGTCCAGTTTTTCTTTAGCTTCAGTTTTAAATTGGCCAAAACTAGGTGATGGTCTGAAGTTATGTCAGCTCCTCTCTTGGTTCTCACGTCTTCCATTGACTTTGTGAGTTTTTTTAGTGATACAAATATGATCTACCAGGTTCTTTGTGGTTTGATCAGGTGAGACCCATGTAGCTTTATATATACGTTTGTGTGGGAATATTGTGCCGCCCATATCCATTTTGTCGAATGCACATAAATTTGAAAATCTCACCATTCTTGTTCCTTTCTCCTAGTCAGCTCATGTTGTCCTATGATATTTTCATACCCAATATTGTCCATTCCGACTTTGGCTGTTAGGTCTCCCATCAGGTTGGTCAGGTCCTTTCTTGGACACTTCTACGTTCGACCTCAGTCTCCCATAAAACTCGTCTTATCGTCTTCATTGTTATCATTGGTGTGTGCATAGAACTGGATAGTATTCATTATGATTTCCACCTTCGTTTTGATGGATGATTTGATGACCATGGATCCATGAGATTTCCATCCTATAAGTGCATCACTTTCTTCTTTGGACAGCATCAAAGCAACTCTGTGTGTGGAGCATTTCCTTCTTCGTGACCAGAGTACAGCAGCATCTATCCTGAATCTAATTTTTTCTGTCCAGCTTGGGTCCAATGGGTTTCTCTGATTCCGAGCGCTGTCGAGTTGTTTCACCTCGTTTCCGTTGCTATTTGATTGATCCCCCGGTCTCCCACATTTTTCGAACATTCCATGTTCCTGTATTAATTGTTTTTCTTGTTGTTAGGAGGGACATTGGCCTCATGACTTCGGCAGAATGGGAGCTTTCAGCACGAAGCACCATAATTCTTCAGGATGAAGGTCCTTTAATTCCCGAGGCAGAGTTTACATGGTTTAAATTGTTTATTTTGGTTCGAGTTGTTTTAGCAAGGTTGTTGTTTAAGGGATGGCGTTACTGGCCACATCATTCTTTACCCGGGCTTGGGACCGGCAGTAACCCTAGTAGAGCTATAGGTGGAGTTAACTGAATAGGTGACAAAGGTTTATTTGAAATGGTATTTTGAAGAAATACTAGGTATTAATCAGCCTAATGAAATCATAATGGTTTGTGTCATACGTATGATAACTGTCGCTCAATCGACTCCATGTTTTTTTAAAATTTATAACTGCTCGACTTGTAATTGAACATTATTTCGCCTTTTCTGAGTATGCAAACGAACTTCGAAAACTACTTTTAGGATTGTTCTTTTGTCATAAATGTGAGTAAATGCTGAACAGTTAGATTGTTCAATAAAACAATCTGAGTGTTGGTTTTATATATACTGATTTTTATCGTCAATGCTGTCACCACTTTTAACCGAATTATTAGAAGTATTTTATTAGTCACTTTAAGATGCTAGTTTCATCACAAGAATCGTCATTTTGTTAAACAATAAGTATTTCAATATTCCTTAAAACGGTAGTCTAATAGTTAGGATACTCACCTTTCAACCAACAGTTCACAAGTTTGAACCGTGATTTACGTACTGGGGTTGCATCGCGGCTCTTTACACAGTGCCTGCGGCCCGTAGTCGCGTGCATGAACCTCTGTTTAGAGAATGAGTTACATTAAACTAAATAATCCTTCTAATCTTCACTGCTCCATCTCGTAAAATACGCTCATTATGGTGATCAATGATTACCTGAATGTTCAAACGCTCTACACGATAGTTATTTCTTCAGTCAGAATAAGTTTGTTTAAAGCCTGTCCAAACTTTCAATGTTCTGTTTAGAAATACCGTAATTATTTGTTGTTAAACAGGTAAATTAAGTGTAATCACGTCTTACTGGTGGATTTGCAGTGACATCTATTAGTTTATTATTGTTTTTGCCTTGAAGCCTTAACTATTCAGTTTAAGAAATAAATAGTTTTATCTATGTGTTGATGGATATTTTGATTAGAATTCTAGTTTGGTCACTATCGCCTATTCTAAGAGTTTCTGTGTCAATCGATGGCATTCATCAAGGATTCGCCGAACCAGCTAATTCACTTGAAAGTGATAATTCAACACCTTTATATGTACTTCCATGGAATACATCTCAGTGGTCAACCAATCCGTATGCATTTCACGTGATTGAAGTCACAGCTAGGGTGAGTGAATGATTTACCCGTTTTTCATCAAACTTTCATATTTAATGTGTTGTTGAATGATAGTAATTACTGATGGTTAGAAGTGTGAAAAACTAGTTCGAAAGTTTGGTTATTGGAACGTAAACTTCCGAACACTAAACAGCCATAAAGTAGTCGAAAGAAAGATTGTATAAGAAAATAGGTTCATGTATAGTGTGCAATCCTCATTGTAATGCTAGTAAAAGCCTATATAGTCATGCTCTTAGAAAAATTGAGAATCGAGAAATCATGAGAACGTCAAACGTAAGACAGATGCGCTCAAATAGTACAATTAATGTCATTTCACAGTTAACTGAGTTATGGATGACTTTATGTGACATTGTCATGTGCACAAATCCATTGTCCAATTACCAATGAATATTGAACTGTTCTTTTTACTAATTGACAAGATGGTACAGTGTGTTTGCTCAAGCAAGTGACTTGTTACTTTATTTGTTCTACGTAGTACTAAGTGTATGAAAATAATCCGGAGTTGATTTATATTATGAATTCTCATCAGTTGAACAATTAATGAACAGCTTTATCCTGGTTTGTAAATCTGTAAATTTCATCAAATTTTCACTATATTAATATTTGTTCATGTCAAGAAAGTAAGTGAGGTTGTTTACACTGATATGTCATCGTATATTGCCAATATGTCTTATCTGAAAGAATATTTCACTACTAACCCTTCATACAGGGAGTTGTGGCGATTTTATTAAGATGCACAAAGTCGTTGAAGTCGACCAAGTTTCAGCTTTCGCAAAAAAAATATTTTATAAATAGTTGTAAATGGTTTTTCTGAAATTCTAATTTGACCATCAATAATGCATGACACCACCGTTTCGTTTGTAATACCGTATATCGTGAGTATTCCGAATAGTACGATAACCACTATACCAGTGATCATTATTCTGGCACCAGACATTGAAGTATTTTTACACAGACCTTGTCACATTAACAGCGGATATTCTATTGTGCATTTTGGTTACTTGGCCACTGTAGACTATTCGACTTTGTTTACATTTTGCTTACTTCTGCCTCTTATTTATTTTAAGGACGTCAACAATAATCAGCGTACAGTTGTTCAGTCGTTCAGTCTTCGAAATCGTGCTGTTTTTCCCATTGGGTTTCTATCGAAATTTTTGGTTGCCAATAGTTTGTCAGTTTTTGTAAGTTTATGATGAGTTATATTTATCAGTAAAACAAATTGATTCTCGTTATATTCCAGAAGTCTTAGGAACTTTAATATGTGAAATGAAACGTGACTCCCAAATATACTGTATACTTTAGGAAGCAATATCTGTCAACATTCTGAAGTACCCGACCGTTGTTGCTACCTTGACGTGGTGGTCGGGCTTGCCTATCGTGATGAAGCAACCGAGCTATACTGGCTGGAACGACCGTTCCTCAAGGTCCTACCATGTCAGACAGGTCGGTTGAAGAGCGGTAAGACTAAAAGCAACAAACCCAAGGTCCGAAGGCGAAGTCGTACTGCTGACTGTACAGAGGTGTGACAGCAGTAAGGTGTTTCCTTCAAACAACCAGCATGACAGCGATGCTGCCTTCCCACAAGGAGGGGTGGGGTTAGAAAAGGTCGACCCTAAAAATGCACACCTCACCTTACCTCACGGATTTCCGTCTCCGGTGGTAATGCCCTTTGAAGAACGGAGCTAACACGTCAAAAACCTCCCACGAAAAGGCCGTGTGCGACCGGCCTCAAGCAGTTGTCCCTTGGGCACTGCGGTCACGCTCTCAGGTCACTGAGACCACCTCTAATCCAATTTCCTTTTCAGGTACCTCCAGAAGAACCCTTCCTCGGTGTGGGGAACCGGGAAGTGATAACCGCCCTCATACCTCTAACAGCACTCGAGACCACTGTATTCATAATCAACCTTCCTCTTCAATTCCTATTATTCCTCCTACATCGACTTTCCACTCTAAACTTCCTCTTTCGGCTTCCTCCTCAAGTGTCACCATAGCCAACGATTCTAGTGTTCAAAACCCTGTCCCAGGTCTACTGAAACCTCGCTCCAAACTACACATTGGAGCCTTCAACGTACGCACCCTATGTCAAATCGGTCAGCAGGCTTCCTTGGCTAAAACCCTAGAGTCTCTTTCCATTGATGTATGCTGTGTCTCCGAAACACGCATACAGGATTCCAGTGTGGTCATTCACTTGACCTCACCTCGGCAAAACGGAGAGCCAACGAGATACACCCTACGTGTATCTGGTGACCCGATGGCCAGTTCTCGTGGACTGGCAGGAGTAGGGATAGCACTAAGCATGAGGGCCGAACAAGCACTGTTAGAGTGGATCCCCGTCAACAGTCGTCTATGTGCTGTTCGGCTAAACGGCTCCGTAAGAACTCGGAAGGATAGGGATACACGTCGTTGCCTTTTCGTCGTTTCTGCCTACGCTCCCACTGACTGCAGCTCAGATGAAGTGAAAGATGAATTTTACAGAAAGCTGTCCGAACTTCTTCAGAAAGCTAAACGCTCAGACATAGTACTCGTAGCAGGTGATTTTAATGCTCAGATAGGTAGCTTAAACCAAACAGAAAGGCATTTAGGTGGATATTTCAGTGTTCCGACACAGCGAACAGATAATGGTGATCGTCTGCTGCAGCTATGCTCAGACAATCGTTTATTTTTAGCAAACACAAATTTTAAGCATAAGGAGAGACATCGTCTAACATGGCGACCCCCTACACCAAACCAACGATGGACTCAAATAGACCATATTGCCATCAGTCATCGTTGGAGAGGGTCGGTAGAAGATTGTCGCTCATTCTGGAGTACCTGCTTGGACTCCGACCACGCCCTAATACGGGCACGCATCTGCTTGCGCCTCACTGGACGCAAAAAAGCCACAGTAAAAAGACCCATTCGAACCGAACTGAGTAGCGAGGAAACCAAAAGTAGGTTCCAGGAACAACTGAGGTCACGATTAGGTAGTTCTGAAAACGAGGTTGACCCAGTTGTTGCTTGGAAAGCCATACAAACAGCTGTGGAAACAGCAGTGACATCTATCAGTGATTTAAACCACAGGGTTACAAAGAACCAGTGGGTTTCTTCAAAGTCTATCACACTGATGAATTCTCGCAAACTCGTCCCATCAGGTTCCGAACATGATGAAGAGCGAAAACAAATCAGATCTAGGTTAATAAAAAGTCTAAGGAACGACCGTGAGCAGTGGTGGGCAATGAAAGCAAAAGAGATGGAAAAGGCGGCGACTATAGGGAACACAAGACAGCTTTACAGACTAATAAAAGAAACTGGAATTAATAAGTCAAGTGTAAGTGAGATTATATCGGAAAAAGACGATACTCTCATCTGCTCCCAGTCCAGGCGTTTAGAACGATGGGCGGAACATTTCAGAGAACAGTTCAACTGGCCTTCAGCTACTCTACAACTACCCTCCATTCCCAGACAGTGTGAATGGAACATTGAAGTAGGTCCCCCAACTCTTGCTGAAGTTCAAAAGGCTATAGTTAATCTGAAACGAGGAAGGGCAGCTGGTCCAGATGGACTGGCTCCAGAGGTCTTTAAGGATGGTGGTCCAATTTTAGCGATTAGGTTGACTAATATTTTAGCTAAGATCTGGGAGTTAGACGTTATCCCATCTAACTGGTCACAATCACTTATCGTCCCAATATATAAGAAAGGGTCAAAATCATCCTGTGACAACCACAGAGGGATTAGTTTAACTAATATAATATCTAAAATACTGGCCTCGATAATTATCAAACGCCTAACTAAGACTCGTGAACTACAAACTCGAGAGAACCAAGCTGGCTTTAGACCTGGTCGTGGCTGCATCGACCACATATTCACCATTCGTCAGATTCTAGAACACAGGCATACTTATCGGCGTCCGACAATGGTGGTCTTTCTCGACTTAAAAGCAGCATTTGATTCTGTAGACCGCGAGACT